CTGAAAGAAAAAAAATATTTTTAACGCTTTTGCCATATAATTCTAGAACATCCTCAAAAAACATAATATGTGCATCTGCATTTTGAGTAGTAGAATCTTCAAATGGTGAAAATGCCAGTAAGATTAAATTTCTAGATTCATGAATGGTTTGATATATTCCAAACAATCCAACAAAATGAATACCATTACTTATTCATCCATCAAACATAATTCCAATCTTTTCTAATAAAATGTTCTTTACTCTTTCTCATATAATATCTGCCAAGCTACTAATATACTTGCCAACTGTTGAAATGTCCAATTTTGAAAGACTAGTATGTGTAATAAAGTCAGAATTCTCACATACATTAAAAAGCAATTGGCATTTTACAATAAGGCTAATCTAATTAAAAATATTAAGCATACTTGTGCTATAAATAAATGTAGTAGTATTTACTATAGAGGTATCATTTTCAATTTACTGCTAGTAAAGTAATTTAAAATGTTCATGTCTTGCAGCTAAATGATTCATTAAGTTTGTATAACCTAATCCTTTTTTTTGAGCTATCAGTTGTGAACTAGGAGGGCACAAATTACATTGATGCTTGCCATTATTTACGAGCTTAAAAAAGCCTCTATATAGCACTTGTTTGAGACTTTTGCGCTTATTGAAACTAATTTAGAAATAGAGATTTAGAGTACTATTTTGATATAATTGTCTTTAAAATTGTGAAGATTGTTAAAAGAAAAAAAATAGCTTGATAGCTTTGATTTTTTTATTAAATTATATAGTAGGTTATTTTTTTAAATTATAAATTTTTAATGCAAGATTAGTGACGTAGATTGGTATGTTTTGGGTAACTAACATATAGTTTGAAGTATTGTTCATTATATGTTGCATTTGCTTTATTTATTTTACAACACTATCTTTATAATGACTTCACCATCTTCATTTTACAGAGCACTCCAGTATTACTTTCAAAGATATTGGTTTTACTCAATAAAAATTAAAGTATAGGTTCAAAGATCGAACCTCTTATTTATTTAATTTTTGTCATATATAATTATATTACTAATAGATGCAATTAGTCTTAAATTTGTATTATTAAACTTTTGTATTATATAACCTTATTACTAATCATTATATCAATTATATTTCTATACTTAGTTCATCATAGCACATGCGTCCAATCATATTCTGTCAATTAATAAATATACTTTTATATATTTTATATATTACCAGCAAAATTGCAATTAATTAGTTAATTGTGGCTATGCTACCAATTAATTAATTGAGATCAGTTAATTACAATTAATTGTCTCCACAATCAAATATTCAGTACACCTGATTGCTACTTCAGGTCTGAGTCAAATCAAAATCCTGAAAATCAAAATCAAAATTCAGAAATTTAATTGTCATACTATGTGATGTCAGAATTTTAATATTCAAACTCCATTATGATTAATAATTTAAAGAAAATCTATATTACTAATTATAGGCAGAGTTTGAATATTGAAGCCCAATATTATACAATATGACAACTAAGTATTAGAGAATAGCAATATATTGCTATAGCAATAAAAAATAAAATATAATAAAATATTAATATATATTTTATATAATTTTGTATTTTAATTAATTGATAATATTAAAACTTATTAAATAAAATAAATTTTATTGGCCAAAAGCAAATTATATAATTTATTTATTTATTTATTTTAATAGAGTATAGTCAAACCTCTTTATAGATACACCTTTAGATACAAAATACTGTGATTATAAGAGATATAACTTAAATAGAGATATTTTCTATATACTATATATAAATTTTGTTTAATAATTATATTTCTAATTAATTAAATAAGCAAAATAAAAGGGTGTAGTAACTTAGTAAAGTTAATAAGTTGTCATATCCTTAAATAGCAAGACAAGAGGTTGGTTACAAAAAATTCAAATTTACAGAATGCATTTAGAAGACTATATTCTATTAGATTAGTATTTGTAATGGGTCACACCAGCTTGTACTGTGGAGTAGAGGAATATTAATATGATATATGCATTTACAAAATGCAAGTTAAGCTGCTGAATAAAACTAACAGATTAGAAAATAGAAGCTTACTTAGCAAGATCTGAGTAAAGAGATAATATATATCTTTAATAGTATTATATAAAGGATTATTATTTAGAAGTAACAGAACAACTGAACAAAACTGAAGTATTAGACAATACACTCTACTAACTAGGTCACCAAAGAATAACTGGAGGAAAAAGATCTAATTGTAAGAACTAGAAGCAGATTACAGCTCTTTTGAGCTATCTGAATTAAAAGTTTAGGGCAACTAAAGTATATTGATAGTTTATAAAGTGGATACTAATGTTTGGGCAAATTTTGCAAGGATATGAAGTAGATAATAGTAGCAGAAATAAAAGGCTACAAGTACTTATCCTTGGATTAAAAATAAGTTACTAAAAATCTAGATAAAATATATATGAAATATGAACCACTTTAGTAGATTTACTACAAAGACAAAAATCTTCTATATAGAAGTATATGTTTACTTTAAAGTTTTAGAAGGCCTCAGTATCAGGTTCCTCTTTGAAAAAGATATCTGATGATATAAAGTTAATTAGAGAGTTTAAATATGAAATTTATAAGCATATCTTTGATATAATAATTGGTATATAACTATATATAGATATAGTAGAGCCTTTAAATAAACAATAACTAAAGTTGTATAAGTGGCTAATAGTACTCTCATAAATATAACAATATTATATATTGTCTATATAATTATGCTAAAATTGATCTAAGTTTAATAAATTATATCAAACCTCTAAGTAATTACTTTAATATTTAAAAAAATAAGTAAAATAAAATAATATAAACTTAAATAATTTATTTTAGATAAACCTAAATAAAAAATAGTGTAGTGATAAGTATTGACAAAAGTAAATAGCTTAAATATATTAATTATAACAAATTAATAGGTGATCTATTTATTATAAAACAGTTTTTCTTGATTTTTTTATTATTTTAATAATATACTAGCCTTTTAAAGTTTAATTTTGCTGAAAGCTCTCACTCAAATACATTTAGTAAAATATTTTTTGGATTATAAATTTGCAGATCTAAAAAGAATATAGCAAAAGTAAACAAAATAATAGCTTATATTCAAAAGAATATTATTTTATAAAGAGAAATTTATCATTTAAATATACAACTCTTTGAAATTATTTTTTAAAACATTCAACTCTTCCTAATGATCACTTATACCAAACTTACAGCTAATGAAAACAAAAACTTGTTGGAGAAAAGTAGAAGAGACAACTATAAATAATGGTTTTTACAGAGGTCAAGGATTTCCATAGTTCCTCCGGACTCTTCTGTATATTTAGTATACAAATAAAAAGCATTTCTGTACAAGATAACTGGCAAGAAGGTGGTGCCCTTATACAGAAAATTTTAATAAAAGCTCTGCTTCTGCTGACGAAGTCAAAAATAGTTGGTCTAAGGAGAACAACAAGCAAGTTTTCAACATGTTCTTTACCAAAGTTTAAGGCTACCTGCAGACTATAACCTTCTTCCATATCTCCACTCTTAGTCTTTATAAAATTTCTCCAAAAAGTAGAAAAAATGGTGTACCTCTATCAAAAGATTGACAACAACAATTATTGCTGAAAAAAAAAACACGTATATATGTATATATCTACTTTTGGTTATAGTGTAAGATAACGTGATAATATGATAACGTTTGAAACATTGCAGAAGACGTGTCGACAAGATGGAAAAGCATCTAGAAGTTTCGACCCTTGGAGCTTTACTTCAAGACTGGATGGTTTTTGATATTTTTACATCTTAGATATAGATATGTTGTGTATCAAAGCTTAATAGTCGTCAACTCTAAATTGACTTATATTAAGTTAAAATTTTAAGTTTATATTATATTAACTCCTAATTAAAATTTGCCCATGTAAATATAAAATTAACATAACAAGTATATTAAATTTAAATTTGCATCAACTTAAAATTATATTCGTAAAAAAAAATTACATTTAGTTTTAATCTGTATAATGCAAACAAATGCCTGCAAGTACAGAAAGCTACCTTTTGCAAAATACTAACAAGCTCAACAGAATGTGCAAATTTAACCTATCTCTTAGTATATAAAATGTTATTTGTCACGATTTACATAACGATTATTACTCGGATAACAATTTGATTCACAGACAATACCAGCTTTCTTACATTTACAATAATTTTGATCACATTTTGTATAACAATTACAGCAAACAGCAATAATAGTTGATGTGATAATGCAAGTGCAGCTTTGTGAACACCAACTGAAATGATAGGTATGTTTTCAAGTTCAATAAACTCTTGTGATCCCATTAATTCCAATTTATTTGCTGAATAACACTTGTTGATTATTCCTGCAGTACAACCAAGGCAATACAAATCATTTGGTAAAACTTCAACAATCTTGCATGGAAGAGCTTTGCGATCTGTACTTGTTAGATCAATTGGTGGAACCTAAATTTTAATATATGCACTATTTTGTAAAAAACTACTAATATTTCTTTTTTTATTTCATTTTTCTAATTGTTTTTTTATTTTTTGTGCCTCTTTTTGTACATATTCTGCTGTTAAGTTACGATAAATTTTATGTAATGTTGGTGGTGTATTTTCTTTATTTTTTTTGTATTATGATTCTCATGATGTATAATTTGATTCTAGTTATTAATTATTATATGTTAATATTATTGTTATTTTATGTAATTTGTGTATAGATTTATCTTAATGCTTATAAAATTTACCTTAATGCTTTGATTAATAATAGTTGTAGTATTTATAATATTATCATTGTTGTTTTCAATTTAGTTAAAGTTTAATTTACAATTCTAAATTATATTATTAGTTAGCAATATAAAAAAAGTAGATAAATAAAAATAAATAATATACAACTTGTTGAGTTAATTCAATAGTTTGATTCAATTCAATGGTTTGATTTAATTCAAGAGTTTAATTCAATTCAATAGTTTGATTTGATATAATAACTTGTTTCAACTCAATAGCATGATTCAATTCAATAGCTTGATGTTGATGTGACTCAATTAATTGAATTTGTTCAGTATGTTGATTTAACTCAATACTTTGAATTAATATAGTGCTTTGATTTCATTGTTCAGATTCAATATTCTGTTTAGTTTCAATAATTTGCTCAGATTCAACACTATATTTAGATTCAATACTTTGTTCAGATTCAATAGTTTGTTCAAATTCAATACTTTGTTCAGATTCAACATTTTGATTTGGTTGAATATTATTGTAAGCTTCATAATTAGCTTCAAGAATTATCCCATCAGTTAATTCTTCTTCATTAATTATATTAGCTTTATAAAATGTTAATAATAAAGGAAGATGCATTCGTGGTTTTTTTTTTTTTATTTTATTTTATTTTTTTTAATATTTAAGGTGAGGTCATGCCTCTGGTTTTTATTAATATATACTTTAGATATAACCTTATATATACGCTAACTAGCACTACAGAGACTTAGACTGATTTATCTACGACCTAAACCTACTAGAGTGGTACATGCCCCACACATGTCTCACCCAGATTAACGCTTCTCAACTAACTATTTCTAGTCATATCACATTCCCCCCACGTCTCACCTGACCAGTCATAACTTCCAATTTGGTACGTCGGGTGTTCGCTCTTAATGAGCTTCCAAGTTGGTATACCTGCAAGCACGATCCACTGCAATTTCCCTCTAAGGTATTTTATTCATGCAATCATAATTGGTGCAAGTGGTCTAACAGCCTCATATCTCAAGCCAGGAACTTGCTGCCTAGTTAGGTTCATCACATGACAGAGTTGGTATTTCATTGTTGAATTAAGGACTTATCTTGGGTTTGCACCGCCTCAACCAGTTTGCATCC